ATATCCATTATTACCAGATTTACACTGCCACTTTATTATGGACCATTGGAAATGGTCCTAGAGCCTGGCGTTCTAACCGAGTTCACAGAAATGAACTGGTGATCCTTTCTTTGAAGAAAATGATCATCACATATAATACAACTGATTATAATTGAGCAAATATTATCTCACAAAATATAAAGAAAAGCAACATTGTGAAAATTCAGATAAAATACCAAATCTAGGAAAAGGAGCATAAAGAGATACGGAGAACAGATTTTAAGCCGTATTTAAATAGCACCAGTTCTCTCTACAGTCATAGCATAATGTTGTATTGTAAGCATTCAGGTAGCATTTTATAACAATGCAGTCAGCAGATCCAAAAGCAGTTGTCCAATCACAAAAGACAGTAGTAGTAACTACACACACACACACACACACACCCCGTCAGTGTTCGAAACTCCCATTGTTCTAGGCGCATTTTGCGATAGGGGATTTCATTAGCGTGAGCAGGTTCTGAGCCTAAGATTTCAGATTAAAACTGCAGAGTGGAAGGAAAGGAGGACCTTTTTCTTCCTCCTCACTTCCAGCTACTCTCTGAAGAAAAGACCCTCTTAAGAATATTAGGGGGTGGGCAGGGGAAGGACCATGTGAAAAATTAACAATAATATTTTAGCTGCAGTTCATTCGTTTTTAGCTTTGTATTCTTGTTATAAAAAAGCACTCCTAGACATTCAGTTGTTGCACCTATAATGTAGGTTTAAGGTGCCTTTTAGCTCCTAGCTTTCATATCTCAGTTTCTAAACACTGTATATACCAGTACTAGTGATAGTAGCTAAGCCTATATTTTGACCCCCACTTTTGAAAAGTAATGTCTGTGTGAAAGTACACAAGCTTATATATTCACATATAAAAAGTACAAAAATCCAGGTTCCCCTCTTTTCTTCCCATCCCCTAGCAACTGCCTATGCTAAAAATAGCACAAATATCATGAGAGACAGGGCACAGAGCCAGGTGGAAGAGTTAAGTCCCAGCTTCACATCCAACAAGTATGATATACCAAACTTTGGGATAGGGTGAAAATCACAAATTCGAAGGAGGCACTTGGAAACACCGATTGGAAATGGATTCAGTTAGACATTCACCTAGATTGTCTTCAGGATGAACAAGTCACATCTTTCTGTCCACATCCTCAGGTACCCCAGGCTGAGACTGACCCAAGCATAATTGAGAATGCTTCATTACAGTCATATTCTTCATTACAGTAATATGCATGCTCAGAGGACTGCCAAATGATGAGGTGTGTACAAATGGTAAATTAGTGAAAGCTGTGAAATTCCAAATTTTGCAGCAAAGCTATGATTGGACCCACCACCATCCACTCTCTGCTTAATGAGAATCTACTTCTGAAAAAGTTGTTTCTAACCAGGCAGGAGATACTGATATTTGTCAATATCTCATTTGGTTTTTGTATAAACCACCAGGTAACATGGAAAAAGGATGGCTGAAATCTTGATTACATGTAAGGGGTGGTTTTACTTACAGACAGGCCAGCTCATCACTACTCATTTTTGAACTGCGTTTGGAAATGGTGTTAGCACACTCATTTCCCCCCATCTTTTGTCACCCATCCAACCAGTCAACCACAGTGTTACAAAAGCATCATCCCCCCCCCAGCCACTTTGACACAATTTAATGACAAAGATGATACCAAGTGATGTTCACATCAGATTCAAAAGGTTTCTGGTTGTGTACACACCAGGTGTTGTTGATGAGATGGATATGTTTTTACCCTATGCAAAAATATTCACACCTTGGCTAGAGACAAATTAGGAATGGCTTAAGAACTCCAATCAGTGTGAAGCTGGTTTGAGAAACAACGTATCAAACCGTAGTATTTTATAACCAAGTGCAAGGTACATATGCATTTTGGGTAACATTGTGTAAACACTGCATAAAACCCCAGCACTGGAAATGCAGTGAATCCATAGTAATCGGGAGTGTGAACACAACCTAAGATGACACCAGTGGCAATTGTGAGTACAATTCCTTACATGTTTCCCACCTTCCTGTCCTAGCAATCCACTCCAATCATGTCACAAGATACACTGTCCTTTCTCTGCCCCCTTCTGGCCAAAGAAAAACAGCAGAAACTATTGAAATCCTTTACCAAGCTGTCAATAGCAGAACTGTATAGCACCCTAGTTCTGAGTATTGCACCTCTCTTGAGCATCAGGCCTCTCTTGAAGAAGGTCTTTTGCATTGCCCTTATAACTGAGCAGGGTCTCCATACAGCCCAACAATAGAACAGCACTAAAACACTTCCTCCCAACTTAGTTTCAAAGAACTGACAGTTTCTATGCTCCACCAGGCCTTAAATTATCTCATCTTATAAAAAACGGCAGTGGCTGTACAACTCTCTGCAGTCATTGGAATACCAATTGTACAATTTTTCAATTGCCTTAATTTTAAAATGTGCAAAAGTACTAACTATCCAAAACAGGCTGTGGAAAGGGAAACATAATATGCAAGAAAAAAAAGGACAAGACTTAGAAAGAAACATGAGACAATCTCTCTAAGGAAACAAGAGCAGAAAACTGTATGACTTATTCACAGGTCCTCAGGTTCAAAGACAAATATAGTACAATTTATTCCCCAAGATTCTAGACAATTAACAACAAAGCCTTATAACATTGGCTTCCCAACTTCCTGTGTCACATTTTGTTTGCACACCAAGTGCATTTTTGAAGAAATCAAATGAAATGCAGAATTGTGAGCTCTTTTAGGCAACAGCTACTAGTCAGAGAGCAAATTTGGGTGAAGCCAACAGCCTGTGAACAACATCATCCCACTAGTCCTCCTTCCGAATGCTAAAATTGCCAATTAGGAAACTCCCCTAGGTAACTTGTTTTGCCACACATAAAGGTTCACCACTTTGGGGCTGGTAAATTGACTGCTCAAGTAGTCACACAGACCTATCACAGATTGTAATGTGTATCTCTTTTCAAACATTAAGAAGCAACACAGATGAGGTGATTGGTATGTGAATAAACTGGCTGAAATCCAGACACTGCACATTCGCTCAGCATGAAATTTCTATTATTACCAGATCTTTATAGTGCAGTTTTGATAGCTCAAAACAGTGAATGCAATAACTTAGTGATGCTTGGAAATATCTGAGGGAATATTATAGGTCCAAACTGTCCCTCCAATACACAGTTAACAGTTCCAGGTAGCAGCAAATTATAACTAGCTCCCAGGGATTTGTTACTACAAATGGTAACAATGAAGCGTAAACCTGCCATTGTCTTACAAGAATCCAAGTTGTTGAAAACATTATATTATGCAAAAGCTGCCTGTATTAGTTTTGACATCTGGATCTCTTCTCTAAGATAGGAAATTTTACCCTGACAAGCTTTTCCTTGGCTTTCAATATATTTGAACATTTCTGCCTCTTTCCCTCAGCATATTTTTTCCATTTCTGTTGTCTCTCTTCCTAGATGGGAGGTGGCCAAAATTACATGCAATGACATGATCAAACACTTAGTATATCTAGACACTCAGCAGCATTTGTATTGTTTTACATTCCTTTCAGAATGCATAATATTTTGTTCTGTCTGCACCCCCGCCAATGCAATCAGCTGATAGCCTTGAGGAGTTTCCACACAATTCCTTCTAAGCTGGTGTTAGCCAATTCAAAATGTTTTCATGTGTATGTATTTGTTGCTATTTTCTGCCAGAGTTGCCCACAGTCCCAGTTTCATGAAAGCCTTCACAGTCTGCTTTTGAAAGCACTGTCTTAAAGCGTTTGCTTCTATGTGCAAATGTTGCTGTTAATATATTTATTTATAAAAATGTGTGTACAGTCGTACCTCAGCTCCTGAACACCTTGGGAGTTGAACATTCCGGCTCCCGAACAATTGAAAACTGGAAGTGAGTGTTCCGGTTTTCAAATGTTTTTTTGGAAGCCCAACGTCCAGCGCAGCTTCCGCTATTGTTTCTGGTGTGTCTGCGCAATCGGGAACCAATTGGAAGCTGCTCCTTGGTTTCTGAACGTTTCAGAAGTCAAACGGACTTCCAGAATGGATTCCGTTTAGCTTTCGAGGTACGACTGTATACTGCAATTTCAGGAGGGGTGAATCAAAGAAATCTGCAATTATAGTACAATAAAAACCCACTGAAGGAAAATGTGACAAGAAATGCTTTGTTCAGCCCACCTGCATTATGCAATAAGCCACATGCATGTCCTGTGCTCCAACTAAATACATATAGTAACAACTTCAGCTGAATTACAATTTGTCAAACAATCACTATTAATTTCAATTTCATTTACTCAAATACATGTACGTCACTCAAGTTGCAGAATCTGAAGCACCTTCTCTTGCTTCTATTATTATGTGGTTGCTGCAACCCAAAAATACGCATGTGAAGTAATAGGAACTAATCAATGGGGCCTAGGCTATGATTGATAGAATGCCAGCAAAAAAAGCATATCCTGCTGTACAGAAATGGAATTATTTCAATTGGCATTAGGATGCAAATCCAAAAAGGAACTGACAGAAGAGAAAAAACAAAAAAGGGAAGCATCTTGAGATGAAAGGCGAAACAATGGGAGTAGAACTGTAGGGCCTGTATTTTTGTTCCTCATATGGATCCCTACAGAGGAGCAACTTTCTTAAACATCCAACGGTCATGAGTAAGAGACCACCCAAAGATGATCCCCCAGACCTTACAACTAGAAATGACAATAGTGTGCCCCACAAGGCCTCAAGCCATTAGTGCCCTGGTGAGGGAAGAGAGTGCCTTGATAACACAAGTGCCTTGGTTCAACCAAACAAGACAATTTAGAGTACATAAGGTGTTTGGTTGCTCTTTCTGGTGAAAGGCATGATAGAACAAAAATAGCTTTGAGACAGAAGGGAAGTTGAGGGTGCTCACACCTTTTTGAACTCAGAACACCAAGCCAACACTTACAAAATATTTCAAGTATTCAAGTATGAAAAAAAAAAGCAATCTCTTACCTTGAAGCATCAAAGCTGTCATATGATCCAACAGTATAGTGTCTAAACAATTTCTTTGTTCTGTCTGCTCGAGTTTCTGTTCAAAATGAAGAAAGAATATACTTAATTAAAACTTTCAATTGTCAAGAGACATAATCACGTGCTCTCTTGTTTCATAAATTACCATTACACTTTTTTTCTTTTTATGGGGGTAGGGACTGGAGGGCGAGACTGCTGTCTCTTATCAGTGCTGTTGTCCCAATATTTACCTTTATTAATTTAGGCTCCTACAAATACTACACTTAATTGTTTTTATAAATATTTATACAGAAATGTATAAAAAGAAATTCCAAATCATACTTAAAAATTAAATATGCAGTAAATTAATTCATGTCTGAGAGACATGTCATAACACATAAAAGGGAGCATTATGGTAAAATATCCTTGAATTTTTGACCCAAACTAGAGTGCACTACTCACAGCTTCTGTGTGGCCTGAACATTCACCACAGTCAAGGCAAAAGCCCAAAAGTTGGTTTTTAAGGCTTAACGGAGCTTGTTGTACATTCCCTCATCCCAAATGACTCCTTAAAGCAGAGGTATGGCCTCTTATGGACAAGGTGGAGGATTTACAGAACTGTATGTCTGAGTCCAAGTGTTACCTTAGTTTGGGGAGGCACAATTCCTTTGCTCAGGAGCTTCCCTGTCCTTCGGGGATAGCTTTAAAACACAGCTTTGAAGGCTTTTGCACAGCTATGTGTGAGTTCAGATTAGAGTCCATGCCCTCCCCCGCAAAAAATAAAATAATGGAAGGAAATTTTAGGAGCTGTGTGAAAGTGATAAGGCAACATGGTTATGCACATCACATGCCGGTACACGTGCCACCAATATTAGTGAGGAGAGATCTCCCAGGGGAGGCAAGCTTTTTCCCCTGAAAGCTCTTGAAGAAAGCTCATAAGTATCAGGCTAATTCTCAGCTGAGTCCAGCAGAGTTTGCCATCACTTGTTTTAAAGTGTGGAGTCACATAATGGCCAGTCTTTAAGGTGAAATCCCACTCACCCACTGTATTCACTCTGACAAAACCTGTAAACTCTAAAATTATTATTTGACTCTTTGGAGGAATCGGTTGCAGCAGCAAAGTAATTTCTAAGGTATGATCTCACCCTTCTATTATCGTACTGAAAGTGGGTGGGAGCAAACGCAACATGTAGTTAGAAGCAGTACTGCTCAGCTACCTAACATGTATAAAGCAAGCATTCCACAGTGTTCATTTCAAACTTCCTTTAAATGCATTTGCAGGATACTGTATATTACTAGCGGGGGGGGGGGCAGCGACACACAGAATCAAAAGGATGAGACAATAGTACATAGCTCTTGGACTCATAGTACATAGTACTTCCAACCTCCCTCATTAAATGGAGATGCAAAGAGATAATGAAGGGGGGGGAGGGACGGAAATAAGGGAACTGTCTTAAAATGGAAAGCAACTTCAGAAGCTGTGTGATATTTTTAAATATAATTTCTTATTAAGGGTTTTGGAAAAGGGCAGCATTAAAAAATCATGACAAAGACATAGGAGAAATCGCAACAAAGTTAAGTCAAAGAAAAATTAATCAATGAGCATTGCCTGTTCTAATTATTCTGTCTCTTTTCACAGGAGCATGAAGATGCAGGATAGAGTTCCAGAGATACCGTTTCACTGAATTCAGATATCAAGTCTTCCTCATGTGAAGAATTCCACAAGCTTGCGTATCTTGCTGGTGTATTTGGGGCCACTGTCCTCTCATTTATGTATTTAAACAAAACTGGATAAAATGTGCTCTTTTTTGTCAGTTCTCTGTCAAACTGGACTTTTTGGGTTAGCGTTTCTGAGATAACTGGTAGCCATGCTCTTTTTCCCCATTCCAAATTCCTGCCTTGGTTTCTTCCAAGTACTTCCAAAAGTGTGCGACAGTCTTGTCATCAGCAGATTAGCAGTTAATTATTTATTCTTGCATTTTATATTTTGACCATACCAGGTATTTAGAATCACTAAAGTGGGGGTTGATAATCTATATTGATGAGTAATCTGGGGCATTTGTTCAGATAACTGACTCCAAAAGCCTGTTAGCAAAAATGCCTCAATGGAAAAGGGTTAATAAACCTCTCATCCAGCACAAGTACAATCATATTTTTAAAAGTACTTAAAGAGTGAAAACAAAACAAAACAAGAACCACATCTTTACAGGAAATAAAACCAAAATTAGAAAAAGCATAAACTCCTGTCTTCGGGATATATCCAATATAGTTTTCCCATTTGTGTAATGTAAGGACTTCCGCCTGCACAATGAAACTTCCTCTCCCCTCCCTGCCCACCCCCATCTGCTCCTACATTTTGTGAGTTTCAGTTTGTCTGGATTTTTTGGTAGAGGGAAAGGGCATGCTGTTGTTTAATTATAGCTACACTAAAATCCTGGATCGTCCCATTTCCATTGTCTTCCAGGAGTCTAGGGAAATTGAGCCAGATTGTGGAATTGTCAGCCTAGTAGGTTTTAAAAAAAATTGATGTCAGACATGTAATTACATTACCATAATCCTTTCCCCACCCCCACCTCACTGCAATTTATCCAGTCTGATGTCACATGATGTGTTAAGCAGCTGACCCACAATGTGATTCACAAATCCCCCCCCCTGTTTTCTACTCTTATAGCAAGTACACAACATTCTGCTGTTCCTTGTTCCAACGTAAGCAGATTTTAGAGAAATTATTGTAAATAATGATAGGTAGCCGTGTTGGTCTGCCATAGTCAAAACAAAAAAAATTCCTTCCAGTAGCACCTTAAAGACCAACTAAGTTAGTTCTTGGTATGAGCTTTCGTGTGCATGCACACTTCTTCAGATACAATTCAGAAGTGTGCATGCACACGAAAGCTCATACCAAGAACTAACTTAGTTGGTCTTTAAGGTGCTAATGGAAGGAATTTTTTTTTGTTGTGAATAATGAGTAATTTATAATAGTATGTTGTTGGCTAAACGTCTTGCCAATACAGTAAGCATCACTCTAATAAATTCTCAAACACAGTCGTATTAACCTATTGACATCTAGAATACTGCTCTTAAAACACAGACAAGAGCATGCCATTCCTTTAGGGAAAACATATTTTCAACTTGAAAGGAAACCAGATTTACATCTTCAAAAGATACCTTAATTATATAACCAAAAATGTACTGCTGTATTTGCTCCTGTTCTTAAATTTTGAACTCTTGTTAACCCTAAAGTTGGAATAGTTCAATGAGCAACTTCTGAGATGTAATAGTTATAGAAAATATTAAGCATAGCTGTCAGGGAACTGCCATCGGAAGGACAGGAGGTGCAAAGGCTCACTGAGGTTGAGAGAGACATAGCAGCTGAAGAGGGAACCAGTAGGGGGAGAGGAGGAACTCCAAGGGAAAGTGAGTCGGAGGGATGGCTCAGAGACGCTTCCAGCGAAAACAGTGGGGAGGTCTCAGGACCTCCTATAGGGACACCCACTCCTCGCCGGAAACTGTCACGCCGAGAGTCCAGAAGACGTGTTTCCGTTAAGGAGCTTTTATGTTGGAAACGATTCCGAAAGCAACCACTTTCGGATTCTGCTAGCAACTGACGCAGCCATGCCGGAGGGGCTCCGTCACAGGCAGAGGTTTGAAAACCTGATCAAACTCTGAGGGACTTGCATTTTACGCACAAGCAGCTCATCATCCCATCACAATAGCAATTGACACCCAAGGCTACCACTAACATTGATATCTGTAGATTGTCTTGAAGTAATTTACTTGAGAAAATAAGGAGAGTTGGGGAGGGGTTTGTTTTCTTATTTGCTTTTTCCCTTTCTAGCGTTTGCACTGCAGTCCATTTCAACAGCTGTATGCTAGTCACCAAGGAAACTACTGTGGGCTGATCTTTGATTGGATATGTTGTCAGTGTTGCCAGAGTTGTGGGCAAAGTTTAGTGGAAGAATGCTACATACACTTTGCATATTTCTGCAGCAGGAAGCAGAATAATAAGATTGCCAAAGGTGAGGAGGGCGTTTTGTGTTTTAATTGAATTCAGTGGGTATACTATGGCACAGGCACACTTGGTTACTTCTGTATTGTACACATTTTGGAATAAAAGACTTCTCATCTCCCAGTTAGCATGTATATAGCACTCTGCATAACCCCTCATATCAGGATATCACACAAACAAGTACTTGAGAAGAAACTGTGTAACAGCAGAAGATGATTTATAGAATATTTTTGAACAAGAAACTGTGAGCTAAAAATAAAATAGATATATTTTCACTGAGTGGGAAAGAGGATTATGGGGTGCCAAATGTAATGTACAACTGGTGGGTTAACATACTCCCACCACTTTCAACTTTCTGTGGCTACTGGACATGTTTAGTCCTCATTTGGTTGTTGGGAAGGAAGAGAGTGCTGCCTTTAGATTTGAATTTTAAAATGCAGCTTTTACATACATACACACATGCATACATACATACATACATACATACATACAGTACATGTACGTATGTATCACTACAAACTATGCTTTAAAATATAGTAATACATAAAGGTTTATTTTTTTATTTGCAAGTGTAACAAAAACAGCTAATAAATAATAGTTCCTATGGTAGCAACAAACTATGAAAGCAACAACACAAAGCCCTAGTAAACTGGCATTAACAGTAAGACTTATTATATTAGCAACAACAGTGGGTTATGTGAGTCCTTCTGCTGGCTAAGAGACTCATATTGCAAGGATGGATGGAAAGACAAACATCCACCATCTCTCTCCTGGTGGCTTGAAGATCTCACTGCCCTTTCTATATCAGAACGCATGGTTTATAAGCATCAATCTCATTTAGGTACCTATTTTGACTGCCTGCCCCATCTGGCCCTCACCAGGACCCTTCTCTAAATAAATAAATAAATAAATATTTTTATTTATACCCCGCCCTCCTCGGTCAGAGCTGGGCTCAGGGCAGCTAACACCAGTAAAATTATAGTAAAAACATAATGGGGGAAAACAATTTAAAATACAGGTTAAAATGCAATTTAAAATGCAGCCTCATTTTAAAATTAGCCCATAGATCAAAA